GCACTCTGAAGATGCCGGTCACAGATGCTGGCAAAACATTAGGAAACAAAACTTCCAGAACACGGCCACACAGCCCGGAAGACCCACACCAGCCATCAAATTACTCTTCCTTGTTATTGCAACAATTTGGGTCTTCTTATTTTCTGAACATAGGAAAGCCTGAATGAGTTTATTATCTTCACCCTTGAGTAAATCAGCATAGCTTGAGGACATCTGGTCTACGTATCAGAGCTTCCTTTAAATACAGGGAGGATGTTAAATAGTGAAGTATGTTGGTCTTGTCAGCATTATGAGCGTTTGTAGGGCAGTTTGACCTTGCTTACACATGTGGTAAGAAGAACGCTGTATTGCAAAGCAAGCAGTTCTATATGGGGTGGCCAACTATTGCAGCCTTGAGTTCACACTTATTTGGTATACCCTTTTACATTCTCCCAGTTTTGTTATATAATGCTTAACAGTTTAAAGCCCTATGCATCTTTTGTGCATAAATTCATTAAAGGAACTTCGGTGTTCACAGGCAGTATCCTGCTGAATAGTAAAGATTGGGTAGCAGCTGTCTTTCAATCACCAACGTGCCCAGCTGTGAATTTCCAGAGATCTGATCAGAGGTAGTGATGGACTTTATGGATTTGATTTAATTTTTTTTAAAATAATTCTTATGTTTTTAGGACAAAAAAAAACAAAGGATTTTTATTGTTGTTAGATCATGTCAACTAACATAACAATATTTTACTCTTCTACCCTTTAGCATGTACTCTAATATTGTCCCCATCCTCTTTCCTTTAGGTCAAATGTGGTAGCTGCAATGTTCCCAAACCTGGATTTTTTGATTTTGAAGGAAAGCAGAAATGGTATGTGACAATAGTTAATGATTTCTAGATACTTCTGAGTTTCTCCCCCACGTCCTAAAAAAACTTATAGATGATGCAAAATTGCTGTATATTCAAACTGTGTAGTTACTGAAAGAGTCTTAGGATCCATATGTGTTGTTATATTTTGATTTCCAGTTTCTCATAGAAGTGATCTGAATTCCCCATTTTGATTAGCTTGTCTTATTTAAAACTTAAATTCAATGAAGGCAGAAGTTGACTCTCTTTTTAATTACATAATGCTTATGTGTATAGCAGGCTTGTCCAAAAAGAATGGAACAGAGTTCTCAGAGTTTTCACTTGTGCATGCAAGGGCAGATCATTTTCAGAATGATGGCTTGCATACTTAAGGACAGATTGCTGTAGGGGTTTACTGCCTCCCAGGTACTCTTCTTTTCCTTCTGGACCCACCACTCTTCTTTCTCTCCATTATTTCTCCCCATTAATAGAGCCAGTTTGGTATAGTGGTTAAGGTGCTGGCCTAGAAACTAGGAGACTGTGAGTTCTAGGCCTCCCTTAAGCATGAAAGCCGGCTGGGTGACTTTGGGCCAGTCACTCTCTCTCAGCCCAACCCACCTCACGGGGGTGTTGTTGTTGGGAAAATAGGAGACAGGAGTATTATGTATGTTTGCTGCTTCAATTGACTACACACACACACACAAAGGTGGGATAACAATCTAATAATAACAATAATAACAACAACACTCCATGTATCACTCCCCCTTCTCTTCTGGTTTCCAGTGGTGGAAGCCTGCTTGGCATTGCATGTGCCTTCCCAGAAAAAAAAGCAAGGAAAAAAAAAATAGATACCCTTGCCTTGCAGCACCCCATTTCCCCATGTATGCTAATAACTACTGCAGTGCCACTGTACATGATGTTTTGCAAAGCCAAGATGAAAAAGGGGAAGTGACCCTTCCCCCCATCTCCTTACTGCCAGCCACCAGTCATTTCCCACACAACAACAGTGCATTGTGGAGATCCACAGTTTGAGAACCCTTCCCTATCCATTCAACAGATGCCATTCTTCATTAAATATGTACTACAGGTAATCCTTGCTTAGCCACCACATTTGGGACCAGTAACTCCACTGCTAAGTGCCATGGTCACTAAGCGGAAAATCATGTGACCGCAACAGGCTTACGACCTCACTTCCTCTTCAGTCATTAAGCAAAGCACCGTGGTCATTAAGCAAAATATCATGCAAACGCAACTGACAATTTTACTTCCACCTTCTCTATTAACTCTGCTTGTCACAAGACAGTTGTAAAGCACACAGATGGAGATCACATGACCCTGGGATGCTGCAACAGTCATAAATGTGAGGATTGGTTGCAAAGATTTTTTTTAACTTTTAACTGTCATAACTTTGAACGGTCACTAAACAAGGCAGTTGGTAAGCAAGGACTACCTGTACATCCATGCTTTTTTTTCGCTGTGGTATCCTCATTGTCAGTTTCTGCCATGGATCAGCTGTTGAAAAAAACAATTAGCACAAAGCAATATTATAAGATTTATACAGACAGGAGGAAATAAACTTGATTTGGGCATGTGGCAGCTGATTTAAGTCTAGTGATTGACTAAGAATCTCCCAATGTAAGGCCTGATCTGGAATTGGCTCTGTAGTTTGGTGAGCCTTTTTGAGTCATATCACAAATCAATCCAGTCACCTAAAGATTTCAGCTATCAGCTTACTATATTTGCATCTCATATTTCCCCGATCTGGTAAACATCCCATCCCGTGCTAGCCACATAAATGTGATGTTTTCTCTATCCATATTAACAGATGGCAGGAAGAATATAAGATGTTGATTCACATCTCTGTAGTGGCAAACTGCAATAACTAATGGATGAGAGAAACTAGTCCTGAAGAGTAATCATGGGAAGATACATTAGATGTGCCAACTGTTCCCCTAGTCTTCCAATTCTATCAAAACCCTGGCTTAATAGGAGGGGTAGCATCTGAAGGGGGGTGATGTCATGTCTGCCCTGGTTCTTTCTCAGGGAAGGAGATGTTAGGGATGAGAATGAGAACCAGGGTTGCCTTTTATGACCCGAGCCTTGGGTCAGATCGTGGAACCAGCCCCCATGATATCTTCAAATTCTGCAGCTCCAGTCTGATTGAGCCAAACAACCTTCTTTGCCTTTTTTTTT